ACACACACACACACACACACACACACACACACACACACACACACACAAAACTAAGCAACCCCCTGCCAAAAATAAAAATAAATGTTGAGCATGCTACAGCCTGCCCCGTGGTCCCAGCATACTAGAGGTGCAGACAGGAAGGTGAAAGAGTTTAAAACCACCTTATATGAAGTATTTTATGTCATCGTGAGACAGCTGTGTCAGTCAAGAAAGTAAAAATAGGGCCAGAGCTCATCTCTGAGGTCCAGTAGTATTACCAACATGACGAGGCACCCTGTGTTTTCTGTCTGATGCTTTTATTTTTTAGAGGGCATGTGCTAGAAATTTAGCCCAACATCGTATACATACTAAGCCTATACTCAAATGCAAAGCTGTATTCCAACCCAGTTGCTCTTTAAAATCACTAAATTGTCTTTCAGATGATGAGCTGGTCGTGAATCCTAAAGTGTTTCCTCACATCAAACTTGGAGACATTGTGGAGATTGCTCACCCCAGTGATGAATACAGGTGAGCAATTCAATGATTAAGGGAACTAGGCACCCTTTCGATTTCAAATACTATTTCAGGCCAGTCAGGGCTATGTAGTAAGGTCCTGTCTCAAAAACAGAACAAAAAATCCTCATATCTAGGACTGAAGAAATGGCTCAGCAATTAAGAACCCTGGCTGTTCTTTTAGAGGACCTGAGTTTGATTCCCAGCATCCATATGACAGGTCACAAACATCTGTAATTCTAGTTCTGGGACATCTGACACCCTGTTCTAGCCTCCTGGCATACCAGATATGCATGCAGTACACAGACAGACATGCAGAGTAAAACACTCATACACAGAAAAAAATTTTAAACATCTTTAAAAATTATGTATATTTCTGTGCAAATGAGTGCAGATGTTTTCAGATGGAGATTCCCTGGATCTGGAGTCACAGACAGTTGTTAGCCGCTTGGAATGGGAGCTGGAAACCAAACTTGGATCCTCTAGAAGAGCAGCAAGTGCTCTTAACTGCTGAGCTATGTCTTCAGCCCCAACAACACTTTGTTGTTGTTTTGTTTTTTTCTTTTTCGAGGCAGGCTTTCTCTATGTAGCGCTAGTAGTCCTGGACTTGCTTTATGGAGCAGGCTAGCCAGGAACTCACAGGGATCCACCTGCCTCTGCTTCCTGAGTGCTGGGATTAAAGGGCTGTGCCACTATGCCGGTCCTACAACCACACATTTTACACATTTTTAAAGTTGAAGCAACGTCTCTGTTGCTTTTGTTCATTTCCCTTTAGGCTAAGTGCAGTTTCTTTGTTTCCAAGGGAGAGTTTTTTAGTTGTGCTACAAGTTAGGATGTGTACTAAATTATTTGTTTGCATTTTGGTGGGAGGCAGAGAAAGCTTACCCCCTGCATTCTCCCTCATCTTGTTGCTTTCTTTTCTAGTCCTCTGCTTTTGCAAGTCAAGTCTCTTAAGGAAGATTTACAGAAAGGTAAGTTTTCCCTCTCTCTTTGGGATTTTTATAGTTACTGTCTGAGACTCATAAGAAACCTCTCTTTGGAATCTCAGGGAATAAGTCCGTAGCAGATTGAGTTTCCTTTAGCATAAAGGAAGACAAATGAAGCTTTTGGAGGTTAGGGACTGCATTTTCAGAAGCTGCCCCAGGAGGAACAGTTGATATGTTTACTGTCTTATTTATCTTTACAGCTAACTGAGCTGTAAGTTCTCTCAGATCCTAAGTGAGATATGAAAATTGCCAAAGATTTTCATTTGTTAGCATGTTGTAGACATTGAAGAAACCACATTTTTAGCTAAAAGAAAAGGTAATTTGTACGTGGGAAGCTTTATATTTATCTCCAAAAAAAGTTGATGGTGACTTTTCTAAATAAGTTTTCTTGTATGAGTGGGTTATCTGTTTGGATTAGGTGTTTCTAGATTTTTGCTGTCTCTTTTCAAAGAATGGAAGAGTTGCAAATGAAAAAGTAGCAAGGGACTTTATTCAAAAAAGAAAGTGAAGGTAGAAAGTAGATTAAGTTGCAAAAGCCTGAGCAAGCATGGGACTCCAAGTGCCTGGTTACTTTCCAGGGCTCCCTTTTGTGGGTCTAGGAGAAGAATATGGGTAGTTTTCTGCTTTGAGTATAAGGCCTATGTTAGCATTAGGTTATGTAATGGCCTGCTGCTAATGCCTTTTTGCATGTTGCATCTGATTTTTTTAAGACTTGTTTATGTGCCAGAGAGATGGTTCAGAGGTTAAGAATACTGTCTGTTCTCCCAAAGGTCTTGAGTTCAATTCCTAGCAACTACACATGGTGGCTCTTAACCATCTATAGTGAAATATGGGCCCTCTTCTGGTATGCAGGCAGAGCATAATAGAAATAATATAGTATAGAACATAGTATAAATAATAAATAAATTTTAAAAAAAAGACTTATTTATGTATTTTGTGTGTGTGTACTTTGTCTGCGTGTACATCTGCACACCAGAAGAGGGCGTCAGACAGTTCTGAGCCGTTTGCCACGTGGGTGCTGGGAATCGAAGTTAGGACCCTCAGAAGAGCAGTGAGTGCTCTTAACCACCGAGCCATTTCTTCAGCCTCTGCGTCTGATTTTAATTACATGTATGCCCAGTCATACAGAGGTGTAGGGTGATAGATTGGGGTTTTCACCTTAAAGAAGAGTTTGCCCAATGTGCCTGCACTTTAGGCTAGTATACCCTGCCTCAAAGAAGAGAAGGGGCCAAGGGATGTAGCTCAGTTAGATCGCGTGCCCAACGTACACACACCAGGCTCTGGGTTCCGTCCATGTCTGAAAGTGCATAAAACAGGTGTGATGGTGTAGGCCTTCAATCTCTATCTCATGAAAAGAAAGAAAAGCCTTGTGAGGTGGTACATGCCTTTAATCCTAGCAGTCTGGAGGCCAAGAAGCAAGTGGATCTCTGTTAGTTCAAGGCCATTCTGGTCTACATAGTGAGTTTCTGTCCAGCCAGAACTAAGTAACTAACTAAATAAATTAAAATATTTTTTTGTATTTTTTTTAACATTTTAAGCATTTTAAATTTTATTTTTGACACAGAGTTTCTCTGTGTAGCCTTGGCTGTCTTGGAGTTTGCTTTATAGACCAGGCTGGCCTGGAACTCACAGAGAACTTCCAGCCTTTGCCCTCTAAGTGCTGGGATTAAAGGCAGGTGTGCATTGCCACCAGTACGAAGGCATTATTATTTTTAAAATCTTGTAAATAAATAAAAACATCACACACTGAAATCAACCAGATCCAAATCTGTATAACACAGTGAACATCTCTACAGTTAGAATAAGCATTTGGAAGGGAAGCCGGGGTGTGTCACACTAAATTGTACATGCTTATTACCAAATTTATTTTATGTACTTAGCCACCACCAAACCAAAAGATCTATGGCAGAATTATAACTAGAACAAATAGCTTCCTATCCTCTTTCATAACTGTGTCTTTCCTCACTCCCTGAAAGTCAGCTCTCTTACTGTCTTCATGTTTTATTGTGCTTACATGTACATTTGTTTACAGATGTATGGATATTATTGGCTAGGTTCTGCTAGAGAGAGAGCACACAATTTTTTTCTTTCTGAGTCTGTGACATACATACTTTCATATTCCTAAATTGTTGCTTGTATGTATATGATTTCAGATGACCATTTAGTATTGGATAACCAAATTTGGGGGCCTCTTCCCTGGAAAAGACCATTTCTGCTGCTCTCAGCATTCCTTGGTTGCCTATGGTTGAGATCCTTCAAGCTTTCCTTTTTCCATATTAGCATGTCCATTGGTGTGCCATTGTTTAGGTATTGTTTAGGCATTCATGTTGATGGGACTTCATGGTGGCGTGGGGGACTTTCTCACTCTTCTAGAGACACAGTCTCAAGCAAAGTTCCCGTTCTGGCTCTTACAGTCTTACTCACTGGTGGCAATGGTCCCAGAGCCTTCCGTGCAGGAATTGTGCTGTAGATGTGATGGACATCACACAGTCTCGGTGTTCTCTGCATTTTGATAATTTGTGGGTTTCTGTAATGCTCCCTTTATCTGAAGACATAGTGATTCCCTATCTCAAACAAAAAAAGTTTCTTCCTACATTTACTTTAGAAGAGTGTGGACACACACCAGGCAGGATGCATGTGTAGAACTCAGAAGGCAACTTCAGAGACTCGGCTCTCTCATTCCACCATGTGGTTCCCAGGGATTAAACCCAGGTTGTCAGGCTTGGTAGCAAGTGCCTTTACCATCTAACCAGCTTGCCAGCCAAATAATGTGGGTTTTTTTTACTATGACATTTCTATAAAATTCATTCCTTATAATCCTTACTTGTCTCTCAACATCTGATAACCTCCTCCTCTTCCCCAGTAGCTCCCCTTCTGTTTTCAGGTCTTTTTCCTTGTGTGTGAACCAGTGAGTTTTACTGGGGTTTTCACAGGAGCATACAGAGGATTGTGTATAGGAGCACAGGCACCTTACCCTGGCTAGACCACTGGGGAAAATGTGTTTTCTTCCCTCATCAACCATTAACTGTTTTTGCAGGGATGGCTGGGGCCTTATGAGCCTCTCTTCTTTCCATGACAGGCCGTTGGCAGGCCTGATCTTGTGTAGGTAATCATAGCTGCTGTGAGTTAGACAATGAGATTGTCATTTATATCCAGAAGTTAGCATCCCACACTGCTCTTCCTGCTTAAAAGGCTCTTATTCATTCTGCCTCCACTTCTGTATTGTTATGTTCCCTGAGCCTTGTGCTGGGCATGCAACGATCGTTCACTCTCAATACTTTAATTCGTTTGTGAATCTTTGCAATTATTGCTGACTGATGTAGAAAGAAGATTCTCCGTCCAAGCCAATAGCAAAATTAACCTATGGGAATAAACATAGTTATTTAGCCATTTTAGTGGTGCATGCCTTTAACTCCAGGAGAAGCAGGAGATACCCATGAGTTAAGACCAACTTGGGCTACAGAGCAAAGTTCTAGGGCAGTTTAGGACTATATAGTCAGACCTTGTTTCCAAAATCAAAAGAACAAATAAATAAATAAAATAAAAACATACTAATTTAGAGTGTGGTCTTACTGCAGATGTACTCAGCCTGGTCTGATCTTAGAAGCTAAGCAAGGTTAGACCTGCTTAGTGCTTGGGTGAGAGAAGTCAGTTTGAAAGGCACATTGTATCCATTTAGTGAAACTATTGCAGAAGTTTCCACTCTGCTGCCTTTGATCTCCCCAGCCACAGGCTTTTGCCCAGGTTTACAGTAGCAGGAATGAATCTCCTCCTACTGCGTTGTGTCAGGTTCACCCATAGCAGACTTCTGTTATTGTACCACTCATCCTGCCTGGCTGGTTCCTGTTGTGTATGGGATCCATAGCTGAGTAAGACAGTTGACACCCTCCACCAGCAGGAGGGCTAGTTAGCAAGGTAAGCTTCCAGCTCAGTTCTACCTCGATTTCTCTGTGCTCCTTGACTAAGGCATGTGGTGCCTTCAGAAATTAGGGTCTTCTCATATAGTTTTGGTGATCAACCAACAGCAATGGCAATTGCTCGCATTGTTTTGACAGTCTCTGGAGTCTCCCATGACCAGTAACTTGTAGGGGGAGGTAGCTCTGCTAACTAGAATTTGAACTTTTCTTTTATGGCTCCTCCTACCCCCAGCCAGGGCCCTGTGCATACTAAACAAGATCTTTGCCAGTTAGTTATATTCCCAGCCTCTAGATATTTCTTTTTTTTTCATTTATTGATTGATTGATTGACAGGGCCTGAGTAGCCCTGGCTGTTCTTGAATTGGCTATGTAGACCAGGCTGGCCTGGAAGTTGCTGAGACCTACCTGTCTGCCTCTCCATTGCTGGGATTAAAGGCATGTACCAACCACTACATCTGTCTCAGATGTTTTTTGTTTTTGTTTTAATGCTTGTTAAAGTTTTATTTATTTTTTGGTTTTGGTAATAAGGTTTCATGGTCCAGGCTGAACTTGCTGTGTAGCTAGGATGAGTTTAAATTTCCAACCGTCCGTCCTCCAGTTCCACGGTGCTGGGATCAAAGGCACTTTACTACCTACCCCCCCCCTTTTTTTTCTTCCCTTAGCCCAGGCTGGCCTCCTATTCGCGATGTAATCCAGACTGGCTTCCAACTCATGACAGTCCTCTTGTCTCAGTGTTGCAAGTAATAAAATCTTTCTGTGTGTATGTGTGAGTCTGTGTTTTATGTGTTTGCCTGGATATGCATGGGTACTTATCCATGCCTGTATGTATGGAGGCTAGAGGTTGATGTCAAGGTGTTTTGTTTTTACTTTCTCTTTCTTTCTTTTGCTATAGTTGTTTGTTTTTGAGGCAGGGACTCACTATGTGATAGTAAATATACTATATAGACTAGAGTAGCCTTGAACTCGTGGAGGTCCAGCTGCCTCTGCCTCCTGGGTGCTGGGATTACAGTAGCATGCACCGCCATGCCTGCCAAGACAGTCTTTGATGAATCTGGAGCTCAGTGTTTTGGCTAGGCTAATTAGTCACAAGTCCAGGGATCTACTGTTTCTGAAGCACCATGCTAGCGTGCAGGTCTGAACTGCTGTGTTTGCCCTTCTCGTGGGCGCTGAAGGTCAGAATTTAGGTTCTCATGCTCATGGAGCAGGGGCTTTGCTGACAACCATCTCTCCCAAGTGTGAGGTCTTAAATGATTGCCTCTTTCTCCCATATCTCTTTTCCTTTCTCCACTCTCTCTCACTTTCTTCCTTCTTCCCTCTACTTGCAAACTCAAGGACGTACATATGCTAAGCATATTTGCAGTCAGAGTTACATCTCTCTTTTAAGTTTTAGGTTTATTTATCCTTGTGTGTGGATGTTTTACCTGAATGCATATACTTGTACCATGTACATGCCTGTTGGATCCCCTGAAACTGGAAAATGGTTATGAGCCATTGTAGGGTGCTGGGAATCCATCCCAGGTCCTCTGTAAGAGCAAAAACTTTTCTTAACTGCTGAGCCACCTCTCCATCTCCATTTCTCTTTTTTGAGGCTGAGGTTGGTTAAGTAGCCTCGCCTGGATATTTAGTTCTCCTGCCTCAGCCTCCCAAATGCTGTAGTTACAGGGATAAGCCATGACACCAGGTGTTTTTCATTTCTTTAAATTGAGTGTTAGTTCTTGGCCTTATTTCACACGTAGAGAATTGTTTAAAATTTAATCTCCTGGAAGACAGAGGCCATAGCAAATGATCAGTTGTATTAATTATTGAGTGTGTGCCAACTTTAAAATGTGTTAACTGATCCAGGTTTTCTTTTTCTGTTTCAGAAACTATCAGTGTGGACCAGACTGTGACTCAAGTATTCCGGCTACGACCTTATCAAGATGTCTATGTGAATGTTGTAGACCCCAAGGCAAGTCTTTGTTTTGGACTTTAATATCTTTTTATAGTGATTCACACCTATCCTCAAAGATTAGGTCATTGTGGAAATGAGGGGCTTAAGTGTAGTGCTAGACTGTTAAATATGTCTCATATCTAGGTCATTTAGATATAAACGGTATATAGGCTGCTTTTAAATCCTCATTTTTTAAAGCTTATGTTAGTTCATAGGAAAGGATATATTTATAATTCTTTTTAATTGCTAATATTTTTTTTACATATTCTATCCATTTAACCTATTTGGATGTTTGCTTGCATGTACGTCTGTGTTCTTTATGTGTGCCTCGTACCCACAGAGGCCATAAGAGGATGTTGGATTCCCCTGAAACTGGAATTATAGACAGTGTGAGACACCATGTGGGTGCTAGGAGTTGAACCCAGGTCTTCTGGAAGAGCAGTCAGTGCTTTTAACCTCTGAGCCATCTCTCCAGCTCCTCATATTTATTTTTTGTAAATGATTAATTATTATTTTTTTAGGCAGAGTTTTGCTGTGTGGCTCAGCAGCCACATGGGATTAACTGTGTGTAGCCCAGGCTATCCTTGAGCCGGCAGCAGCTCTTCCTCTTGCTATGTAGACCAGCTACTCTGGGCTACACAGTCCTCTGGGCCTCGTTTTTCACGGGATGGCTGCTGCAGGCATGCTGCAGAACTGCCGCAGGCATGATTGAGTTGCCTCTGTTTTGGAGAATTCTGTCTGGTTCTGCTGTCGAGTGCTCTTCCAAAGGTTTCTGTTTTGCATTTTTTCCTTTTGGTGTGTAGACTGCATGTTTTGGCTATAAAGTGTGGCAGAATGATGCAGAAGTGTGATTATCCTCTTTTAGGATGTGACTCTTGACCTGGTGGAGCTGACTTTTAAGGATCAGTACATTGGCCGTGGGGATATGTGGCGGCTAAAGAAAAGTTTGGTAAGATACGACTTTTATATGCATATGCTATGTGTATTTTTTGTTTGTTGGTTGGTTGGTTTTTTGAGACAGGATTTCTCTGTGTAGCCTTGGCTTTCCTGAACTCACTTTGTCGAACTCAAAGTGATCCGCCTGCCTCTGCCTGCCCCTGCCTCCCTGAGTGCTGGGATTACAAGTGTGCGCCACTGCGGCTAGCTCCAAAACAGTATGTTGCCTTTTCTATGACAAATGTCCTTGTTTATCATATAAATTTAGAGCTATCAAAATAAATTCTGATTCTGGTATCTGCAGATAGTCACTGTAAACAGTTGGTTATATTCTTCCCTGTTTTCCTGTTTGTTTATTTTATTTGTGTGTGTGTGTGGCTATTTTGCCTGCATGCATGTATTGTACTTTATGCGTGCCTGCTACTGTCACCAGTCAGAAGAGGATGTTGGCTTCTCTCAAACAGGGTGTTGGAAAGGGAACCTGGGTCCTCTGTAAGAGCAACAGTGCTCTTAACCCTGAGCAATCTCTCAGTGCCATCCCCACCTCTCACCCCATTTTTGAGAAGGGTCGCAGTATGTGGACTTGGCTGGCCTGAAACTTGCTGTGTAAACTAGGCTGGCCGTGAGTTCACAGAGATGCCTGCTTCTCCTGAGTGATGAGATTAAAGGCATGCACCCTTATACCCATCTATCTATTTATTGATTTCTTTATGTATACAATACAATGTTCTGCCTGCATGTACATCTGAACACCAGAAGAGGGCACTAGATTTCATTTTAGATGGTTGTGAGCTACCATGTGGTTGCTGGGAATTGAACTCTTGACCTCTGGAAGAGCAAGCAGTGCTCTTAACCTCTGAGCCATCTCTCCAGCCCCATCTATTTATTTTTAATGAACCTGTTTCCATTTAAAATACCTAATTTGCCCTTCTGTCATCCTTCTTTCTCTCTTCTTCCTCGCTCTCTGCCCCTCCCCCTTACATGGCAGGTGAGAGCGCTTCCAATAAACCTGCATTTATATAAAAAAAAAAATATATATATATATATATCCAATTTATCAGAATTGTAACTCAGTACTGAAAACTTTTTACTATAGTTTTTGCATATTATGAAAGATAAATTATATGTAGAATTTTTTTACTAATTTTTGAAAAATATTTATTTATTTTACATGGGTGCTTCTATCTGCATGTACACCTGCATGCCAGAAGGGGGCATCAGATCCCAGTATAGATGTTTGGGAGCCACCAAGTGGTTGCTGGGAACTGAACTCAGGACCTCTGGAAGAGCAGACTGAAGCATCTGTCCAACCCTATATATGTAGAATTTCTACACAAAATATATTTCAGGGAAAAGTCAAACAACCAAAACCTTGATTGGGCTGGGAACATAGTTCAGTGGTAGAGCCTTTGCCTAGTATATGTGAGGCTCTAGGTTCAATTCCCAGCACCAAAATCTAAATGAATAAATAAGTACACAAATAAATAAATGAAAGTTGTGTTGAATGAAAGGAATGACAGCTCTCAGTGCTAGAGCAGTCGCCTTAGGTTTGCCTCTGGCACTGAAAAGAGAAATCAAAAGTATAAAGATAATTTGTGCTACACTTAGTATATAAATGTAGAGAAGACCCGTGTATTTCTCGGACTGCACGCCCTGCCTGGTTTTTCACTATTGTTTGTACTTGCTGACATTTCAAGCACCAACTGTTGTATAACCCCAGTAGCCTTCTCTGTATGCTAAAGCTGTCACTCCCTTGCTACCTGGACTTCTTGTTGGAGGAGACTGCTTTGTTTTCTTTGTTTTGAGACAGTGTTTCTCTGTGTAGCTCTGGCTGACATGTAACTCACTCTGTAGACCAGGCTGGCCTCAAACTCAGAAATCCACCTGCCTCTTTCTCCAAAGTGGTGGGGCTAAAGGCACGGGCTACCACCATGCCTGGCTTTTTTGTTGTTTTTGGAGATTTTAAAGCAAGGAGTCTTTCTGTGTGGCTTATGGGCTGATGGCTTGAGCTTTTTCTTTTTCTCTCTTCCCTTAGGTGAGCACCTGTGCCTATATCACTCAGAAAGTGGAATTTGCTGGCATCAGGTAGGTATCATGGCATTCTGCTGTGATGTGAGTGAAGAACCACCAAAGTACATGATTGCAGCTTCAGGGCTTTATGAGTTTGTGTCTTGGAATTTTGAGACCTAGTCTCATGTAGCCAGGCTGTCCTCAGTTTCACTATGTTGCCAACACTGGCTTTTTTTGTTTTTATTTGTTTGTTTTTTATTAAAAAAAAAAACCCCATTTTTTGAGATGGGGTTTTTCTGTGTCCTGGAACTTGCTTTGTGGACCAGGCTGGCTTTGAACTCATAAAGATCTACCTGCCTCATGTGCCACCGGGCGTGGCTTTTAACTCCTTAGCTCCCTGTGCTGACGTCTCCAGGGCATGCACCAGGCAGGTGCATGCTTCCACAGCTGGCTGCTTTCAGAATTACCCAAAGAAGTGGTTGAGGCTACTGTAGCAAGAGGGGTGAATTGCATATTTTAGGACTGAAACTATTTATCAACATGTGTAATCACACCTGGATTTATAGATTAGGGTACTTGCTTATAGGTATACAATAACCAGCACAGTAATTGTGACATGTTGCCTTTCTAACTGAATTGCTTCACTATCACTGTATTTAAAATGGTTTCTGTAGTTTAATAAAAGGGACTTTTCAAAATCCCTCCTGTTTTTCCAGTGCTAGAGCTGTAACCCAGAGCCTCATGTATACTAGTGTGTCAGACACTCCAGCACTGAGCCACAGCTCCAGCCATGGAACATGCCCCCTCAGCCCACCCACTGCCACCATTTTCTTTTCTTAGGTGTTTTATACTGGGCATGGCCTCATGGTTGCTGAAAAAGTACTTTGCCACAAAGCTACATCCCTGGGGTGGCTGTATAGTTTATATTGTCACCAACAGTGTACAATGGGTCCTGCTCTCATCTCACCAGCATTTGTTATTATTTGTTTTGTTGATGGCAGCCATTCTGACTGGGATGATACGTGTGGACCAAAACAGAAGCAAGAACAGTACACCTTGCTAGTTAATGGGAGATCAAAAGAGAAAAAATACACTTTGCAGATTAAGGGTTCTGTTTTGGTCCACCATGAAAATCAATATGAGATTTTTATTTTTCTATTTTGATTTTTGAAACAGGGTTTCTCTGTGTAGCACTGGCTGTCCTGGAACTTGTTCTGTAGATTAGGTTGACGTCTGCCTCCTTAGTGCTGGGAGTGAAGGCATGCACCACCACTGCCTGCCAAGAATTCTTTTTTGGTTTTGGTTTTTGTTTTTTCAAGACAGAGTTTCTCTGTGGCTAGGCTAGAAGTGCATCTGAATGTGTACTGCAAATATACTTTCACATCAAATGTGTTGTTGCTGTAGTCACAGTAGCTAAGAAATGGAGTCAGCCTGTATGCTCATCAACAGATTAATGAATAAAGAAAATAACATACATACCCAGTGAGATTTTAATAAAACCACTAAAAATAAAATAAAATCATGACATTTGCAGGAAATGGATGGACCCAAATACCTTTTTTTTTTTTTTTTAAGACAGGGTATCTCTGTGTAGCCTTGGCTATCCTGAACTCAATTTGTAGACTAGGCTGGCCTTGAACTCACAGAAATCCACCTGCCTCTGCCTCCAGAGTGCTGGAATCACAGGCGTGCACAACTGAAGCCAGCTTCCCAGATGTTTTCATGTTAAGCAAAATAATACAGACTCATTAAGACAAATGTGGTGTTTTCTCTTAGTCACAGAAACTAGGTTTCAGCATGAAACTAGGAAGGGGAACTATGAAAGCAGAAGAAGAGATCTTCCTGGGCAGAGAGTAGAGGAGGGATAATGAGAGTAATGGAATACACGTGACATGAAAGCTCAGGAAAGGGCCTTAATGAAATCCGTTACTTTGTGTGCTAATTTGAGGAGACGAGGGAGGGGCTACAGTTGGGACACAGAGTGAATAAGTTGTAATAAAGAAAAGGAAAATTAAAAAATTAAGAATTGCTCAGTGAGCTGCATGGTGGTGACACACACCTTTAGTCCCACCACTTGGGAAGCAGAGGCAGGTGGATCTTTGTCCGTTCAAGGCTAGCCTGTTCTACAGAGAGAGTTCCAGGACAGCCAGAGCTGTTACACAGAGAAACCCTGTCTCAGAAAACCAAACAACAACAACAAAATAATTGCCCAGTAGTGATAGACATGATGTTACTAATCAAGCTTGTGGAGTTAGTGTGTCTGAGACACCATGTAGCCTTTTGCTCCATGTGGTTAGTCACCTGTGCTTGCATTTGCCTGTGGCTTTTCTCTCTCTTGAACTACTAGAAAAGAGGCCTGTCTTAAAGCCATAGGAATTAGGGATTAGGTTGCATTGTCTTTTCCTGTGTTACTGCTTTGAGGGCAGGAATTCCCCAGGCTGGCCTTGAGATCCACCTTCCTCCCCTTGCTGATTGCTAGCATCATAGCCATGCACTACTGCAACAGCTCAGAATGTGTTTGTGTTTAATAAAATTAATAAAATAACTATTCTGGAACTGAAGGTGTTAGCTCAGTGTTAGAGTGCTTGCCTGATACACAACACAAATTTAAAACAACAACCAAACAAAAACCAAGAACAACCATAAAACCTATTTACACAAGAATAATGTTTTTTAAATTTATCTTTTATCCTTTATGATGTCTCATTTGTTCTTCCTATGCGCTCTAGAAGAAAGATAGATGGATGGATGGATGGATGGATAGATAGATAGAGGGATAAATACCAGCCACATTTATTGCTGTTTTCAAAACTGAGGCTTGGCCAGTGAGTGAGATCTCTCAGTAGGTAATGAAATTTTCTGCCAAGCCTGAGGAATTAAATTTGATTTCCTGGTTCCCACATGGTGGAAGGAGAGAACTTGCCCTTCACAGCCACAAACACAGTCCTACACATACACAGACAAAATAAATAAATGAATATAGTGGAACCTGATCCTCAGAAAAGTTATAGCGTCTAAGAAGGAGTAAAGGTTCTAGAATTTAATCCTGAGTTTTAGTGTACTGATTTGCATATGCATTGTAGGGAAAGCGTGTAACATTGAGCACAGTTGAGCTTATTTGAGGGATCCTGTAAAACAGTGTTTGATGAATTGCATGCAGTATATTACTTTGTTTGTTGTTGTTGTTGTTGTTTTGAGGCAGGGTCTTATATAGGCCATGTAGGCCCCTGGCTGTTCTGGAAATTGCTATGTAGACCAGTGTGGCCTTAAACCCATAGAGATCTGATTTCCTCTGTTTTCTGCGTGCTGGGATTAAAAGCATGTATTAACAGCAGTATTCAAGTGCTGGGATTACCAGTGGATGCCACTCCCAAGCACTGTGTCATTTTTGGAATCCTGAACTCATGTCATCTGGAGAGGTACAGTGTTAATTGTTGTTTATCTAGATATTTAGCTAGTAAATGACTCAGCTGCAATTCCTGCTCAGACTATTTATTCCCCAAAGCGAATGGCTCTTGAGCTGAGAGCCTTGCTTGTTATGCTGCCCTGTTCATCTTATATTCTGAAAAAGTCTCAGAGGAGAGACATTTAGGTGGCATACTCCTGCAGTCCAGCACCCAGGTGAGTGATGCAGGGGGATTCTGCATTCAAGAACAGCTTGGGCTGTATAGAATAAAGTGTATTCTGATCCACATAGCTGTCCCAAAAAGAAAGAGCAGCAGAGGGAAAAGCACCAAACTGGAAAACATTTACCAAGTTGCCATTAGGTTTTCAAAGAATTACTTGTTTTGTGTGTGAGAGAGAAAGTGAGCAAGGGCATGCATATGCCCTGCTACATGGAGTTCTCAGGCCAACCGGCCAGTTAGCTTCCAGCCCAGTTCTCCAGTCTTTGCCTTTCATCTCATAGGTGGATTACAGATGCACTGGCTTTCCCCTCAGGTTCCAGGAATTAAACTTAGGCCGCCAGGCTTCAGCAGATGGACCCTTTACCCACGGAGCTTTTGTTTGTTTGTTTTGCCACAGGGTCTCACCTTGTAGCTCTGGCTGGCAGGAACTCACTATCTAGAGCAGGCTGGAAATCACGGAGACCTGTCTGCCTCTGCCTCCTAAGTGCTGAGATTTAAGGCTGTGTCTTACCTCTAGCAGATATATTGATTGATTGTTAGTTAATACCTCCTGACTGCTTTTGTTAGGGTCCTAAGATTAAAATGATCTTTTCTCTGTGTTGAAGCTCATGGTATTGTGGCTAGGATTAAGACAGTTATTACTAACCAAAACTATAAAATCTGTATCCAGATAATTTTGTATATAATTTCTGAGCATCTCTGAAGGCCTAGTTCTCTAGACCTGAATATTTTCTGTGGACTCCTGTTGTGCATATTCAGTATACTGAGAGCTGTTTATAGTAGACAGTCTGCTCATGGGGCTCTCTTGGGAAGGCAGAACTGATCAGGTTCTTTGAAAATAAGTAGGCTTAGGTGACAGACACAGGGGAGTGGCTTGGAGCACATAGCAAGACTGATTTAGAAGACAGTGAGCAAGCCTCCTGAAGAGAGCCATGGTAACATGTCTGTGTTTCTCCTTTCAGGGCACAGGCTGGTGAGCTGTGGGTCAAGAATGAGAAGGTCATGTGTGGTTACATTAGTGAAGAGACCAGGGTAAGACTTACAAAATGGCTTTTTGGTTTTGTTTTCTTATACCATTATGTGTGAGTCCTGAATTCACAACAAAGAAATAAGCAAAAATCTCATGATTGGTACCATCTGCCCAGCTAGAACTGGTCCTTTACTACTCTCATATCTTACAGTTGGATCTTGACAGGTTGGAATTGATCTTCATTCCAAATGAGTCTATTCAGTATATTAAATACAGGACTGATTGTGGTGGTTTTTGCTTATAATTCCAGCACTCAGAGGGCTGAGACAGGAGGATTACTATGAGTTAAGAGGCCTTTCTGGGCTATATAATCAGTTCCACTCTGGGCTACAGAATAAGAGATCCTAAAGTTCTCTGTCCCAGTTACTTCACTTAGTAATTTCAGGTGTTTGTTGAATGAGATTTTCCCAACTGTAAGAATTCGAAATCTGGTCCTGTGCAACAGGCATGTGCCTGGATTCCAAGTTAAGTAAGAAACTGAGGAAGAGCCAGGCACGGTGGCACACACCTTTAATCCCAGCACAGAGGCAGGCGGATCTCTGAGTTGGAGTTCAGCAAGTCGAGCCTCATCTAAAGATCTAATTCCAGGACAGCCAAGGTTGCACATAGATACCCTGTGGAGAGAAGATCACCTTGGTCAAAAATAGGATAAACAAAACCTTTTTTTTTTTTTTAAGGCAGGGTTATCAATTTGTTTTCCAGGTTGGTCTTGAACTCTCACTTCTGTGTCCACCTCTGGAATGTTGAAATCATAGTTATTACTACCATTCTAGCCTAGAGAATAAGATACCTGTATATGAGGAGAATTTAGCATGATTGGGTTGGGGCTGAACCTTAGTGGTAGAGTGCTTGCCTGGCATGACAAGACCCTGGATTCAATCCCCAATATCAAAGAGAGAGAGGACATAAAAGGGAAACAACTTAGTATTATAAAATTTACCAGCTGGGGAATTGGCTCAGTGGGTAAGAGCACTTGCTGTATGAACTTGATGATCAGAGTTCAGTTCTGAAAGCCTTATGTAGTAGTGCAAGCATCAATATCCTTGCATGCTCCTACTCGGAAGGTGGAGAGGAGCAGCTTCAGAAGCTCCTGGCAAGTCTTGCTTTGAGTTCTGCGAGGCTTCTGTGACTTCCACAAGTAGAGTCTACTCTTCTACTACATTTCTTGTATGAATCTTCACGAAATATCTGTAGGTATTGCAGTACTTTGCAAGTTCTTGTCCAAGTGTTACAAAACTCCCAAGAGGTCAGGGATCATATCTTGCTACCCATGATACAAAGCTCAGAGTAAGATTTAAGTAACTTCTTTTTCGTTTTTGTAGATTATTTTTCATTTCTTGTCTATAAGCATTTTGCTTGCCACATAGATTTGTGTGTATACTGTACATGCCTGGTGCCCATGGAGTCCAGAAGAGGTCATTGGATCCTCTAGCGCTGGAGTTAAAGACAGTTGTGAACCTTGATGTGGGTGATGAGAAATCAACCTGGATTATTTATAAGAGCATCAAGTGCTCTTAACTATCTTACCCTTGCTTTTGGTTTTTTGAAGTAGGGTTTCATGTAGCCCAGGCTGACCTTGAGCCCAAGGATCACCCTTAATTCCCAACCCTCCTGCCTCCACCTTCCAAGTGCTGGGATTGTAAGCATGTGCCACACACTCAGTCATGAAAGCGAGGCAGGCGTGCTATCAACTGAGCATTCTGTCAAACAAGTGAAGGAACACATGGGTAAAGTTTGCGTTTAAAAGTGCCACTTCACAATTAAGAGAATTCTTCCATCGTTTGATTTTTTTTCTTAAAGATTTATTTATTTATTATGTATACAATGGTCTGCCTCTATGTACGCCTGCACACTAGAAGGCACCAGATCTCATTATAGATGGTGTGAGCCACCATGTGGGTGCTGGGAATTGACCTCAGGACCTCTGGAAGAGCAGACAGTGTTCTTAACCTCTAAGCTATCTCTCTGGTCCTGAAATTTTCTTCCAGTAAAAACTACAAAATTTACTGAGTAAATGTTTTGTTTGATTTTCAACACAGGATTTTGCTATTGAGTCCTGGTTGACTTTGAACTGACTATATTCCTGCCTCACTTTCCTAATTTACAGGATTACAGACATGAACCATAGCATTAGCGTTTGTTCTATTCTTTTTATTTTTTATTTTTATTCTTTTTATGATTGCTGTTTAAAAGTTTTATATATTTTGATGTTTTTCTCTCTCCCTCTACTCTTTACAGATCAGCCCTACCTCCCTATGCATGTTGTTTTTCTTTCACTAAAACAAAACAAAAAATGAAAATAAAAACAGTGAAAAAATAAGACAAAAACAAAAAACAAAAACGCCAAAAAGCACTTAACAAAAAGCACCCCAAAACAATGGAAAAACAACTTCCAAAAACCATGGAATTTGTTTTGTGTTTGTCAGTTACTTTTGGGCCTGGGCCTGCCTTGGAATATGGTTGATATACCCAGTGACATTCCACTGGAGAAAACAGATTTTTCCCTTTGCTAATAGGAATCAATTGCAAATGGCTTGTTGGTTAAGGGTGGGACCCTGTGTCCTCTCTCACCTTTCAGTTCTGGGGCCCCATCTTGCTTGAACCTGTGCAGGCCTTTGGCAGGTCTTATGTTGCTGCCACTTATAAGTGAGTCCATATGTGCATTAGTCCTGCTATATCGGGAACTGTTTCCCACCTCTGGCTCGTACAGTCTTCCCACTTCCTTGGATTAGATCCCTGAGCCCTGAGGGGAGAGGTTTGATGAAGACATCCTATTTAAGACAGTTCCAAAGTCTCTCACTCTTTTTTTTCTTTTTTAAATATTTTTATTTATTTATTTTTATGTGCATTAGTGTGAAGGTGTCAGATCGCTTGGAATGGGCATTACAGACAGTTGTGAGCTGCCATGTGGGTGCTGGGAATTGAACCCGGGTCCTTTGGAAGAGCAGGCAGTGCTCTTAACCACTGAGCCATCTCTCCAGCCCAGTCTCTCACTCTTTAAGGCACATTTTCCAGTTGTAGGTCTCTGTTAATTCCCTTCTATTGCAAGAAGGAGCCTCTCTGATGAGGGTTGAGTGAGGCTATGATCTACGGATAAAACAGTATGTCATCAGAGTCATTTTATTTCCATTTTCCTTTAGCAGAGTAATGGTAGTAGGTTTTTTTCCTATGTCTATGACATATTTAGTCTCAGGTTCTTGGCCGTTTTATCAGTGTCAGGTGTGGGTTCTGTCACATGGAGTATGCCTTTGGAAAAAAAAAAACTTATAAAAATGATGGTTGGCCATCAGGCTCAGCATCTGCTTTCACAGTCTGCATGGCAGAGGCTTTTAGAGGCCCTCTGTGGCGGGTTCCTAGAGTGAATGGAATTTTATGTAAGAAGTGGGAAATAGTAAGACCTGGAGAGAACAGGAACTCCACAAGGAGAGCAACAGAACAAGAAAATTTGAACACAGGGAACTTCCCAGAGACTCATACTCCAACCAAGGACTATTCATGGAGATGACCTAGAACCCTGACAATGCAGCCACTTCTGATGAGAACTGATAGACTAAGATCAGAAAGAAGGAGAGGAGGACCTCCCCTATCAGTGGACATGGAGAGGGGCATGCATGCAGAAAGGAGGGAAGAGGGTGGGACCGGGAGGGGAGGAGGGAGGGGCTTATGGGGGGATACAAAATGAATAAAGTGTAATTAATAAAAGTTAAATAAAAAAAAAGAAAAAAATGATGGTTGGTTAATCCTATAACATTGTACCATTATTGTAACCTGTATGCAGGTTGCTTTTATAGGCTTGTGGATGGAGCTTTTAAGCTTTGAATACATGTGCACTATGCTTAAGTGTATAATTAAGTGGTAAGGCTGGTGAGCTTGCTAACCACGAAGCCTAATGACCTAAGTTTCAGTCCCCAGTATCCACATAGTGGAAGGAGATAACTGACTTAAGCAAGTTTCTCCCTGACCTCCACACATGTGTGATTATACACACACGTGCACACATACAAGTGCACACATATACGCATTCTCTCTAATAACAAATAGACATAGCTAAAGATGTTAGATGCGGTTCCATTGCGACCCCCTTTGAGACCCCATTCATCCCGTAGAATTAAAACTATACAATTTATTTGCTCTTTAATGCGCTTGTGTTTTTGTTACAGGTGGTGTTCCGATCTACGTCGGCTATGGTTTACATATTTATTCAGATGAGCTGTGAAATGTGGGATTTTGATATTTATGGTACTGTTCCCTAAGTACTGATTGTAACTGCCTCTGGAGAGAATTTTCTGGTTTCCCCCAAGTTTGTATCATTTTATAGTAAACTCTTGATATTCTCTAAAGATGTGTCCTGCTTTAGTGCCAAACCTCTTCAGTTCTTTTCCTTTCACTATTATTTTTTCATTGTTCTTTTGGTTGTTGTTTGTTTTTTGAGATAAGGACTCATACAGCTGAGGGTGGCCTTGAACTTGCCATTCTTCTGTCTCCCAAGTGCTGAGATTAAAAGCGTTCATTCACCTCTATGCCCAGTTTATGCTGTGCTACAACTAAGCAAGCACTCTACCAAACTGAGATAAAGTCCGGGCCTGGTGGTATATGCCTCTAATCCCAGCATTCAGGAGGCCAGCCTAGTCTACATAACAAATTCTTGTCAGAGGTACATAGTGAAACCATTAGTCAAGGATATCCTTTAATTTCTGAGTCTCTGCCTCTGAAGTGCTATAATTTCACTCATGCACTACCATGCATAATACTTACATTTATTTTTAGACCTTTTCATTTATTAATATTTTGTGAGTACATGCATGCATCCCACTTACCCATGTGAAGGTCAGGTCAACTTTATAGTGTCTGTTCTTTCTTAATTTTATGCATGGTTTCCAGTGATCAAACTTTGTCACTGAGCAGCACGTTCTTTTTCCCACTGAGCTATATTGCTAGTTCCTCTTTTTTTTTTTTTTTTTTTTACAATTTTTTCTTTATTAATTACACTTTATTCACTTTGTATCCCCCCAGTGGTTCCCTCCCTCCTCCCGTCCCAATCCCTCCCTTCCTCCACCCTCTGCATGCCAGCCCCTCCCCAAGTCCACTGATAGGAGAGGTCTTCTTTTCCTTCCTTCTGATCCTAGTCAATTAGGTCTCATCAGGAGTGGCTGGCTGCATTGTCTTCTTCTGTGGCCTGGTAATGCTGCTTCCCCCTCAGGGGGAGGTAATTAAAGAGCAGGCCAATCAGCTAGTTCCTCTTATTTTATAAAACTGCATAGATATGTGGAGAGATAGATGCAGAAGTGGAATATGAGTTCAAGGAAATGCAATAAACTATTTATTAAAAAACCTGAATTCTCATATCTTAAGTGCTAGTATGATTAGGTGCCAGCAATTTCTTTCTCTACTTTCTGTCCTTCATAGGCTCTTGCTCTGTAACTCAGGCTTTCATCAGATTCACAATCTTCCTATCCTAGCCCCCTGAGTGTAGGCATGTACTACTCTCAACCTGATGTCTTCCATTTAGTTTACTACCATTCTCAGAAAAAGCAAGTTTGTTTCATTGTATTTGAATTACAACATAATGAACAGAGAATGCTCAAGCTGCTCTGAGGTACAGATACTGTGCCTACCTCACCAGTGTCAGGATTTGTACAGTTCAAATTATTATTACAAATTCTTGCTATGCATCATCCAGGAAACTTATGGCTGGAAGGAACTACAAACTGATTAATGAATGCCTAGGGCTTATCAAATAATTTTTTTTTTAAATTTCATTACTTTGAGAGAGAGACAGATAGATAGGCAGGCAGAAAGAGTGTACACACAACTTTCAGGAGTCGGTTCTTTTTCTCCCAGGGGTTCTGGGAGTCAAACAGGTCATTAGGCGCTGTCAAGTGTCTTTACTGCTGAGCCATCTTACTGGTCCCCAAATCATATACACCTTAAGCACAACTGTGAAAATGATCATGCCTGGAGTTTAGCTTGTTCCCTTATCTTGAATAAACATGTATTAACCAGTCACCTGCTTTTCGAAATTTTTTGTTTTTGAGTCTATAATTGTGAGATTGGACTGTACTTTCTGTGCTAAGGAAGCATCTGCCCTCCATGATTAAATTTGGCTTTACAAGAGTTGAGGATATAGTCCAATGGTAGAGTGTTTGTCCACTTTGCCAAGTGTATGCAGGTAGCCCTACCTTCGTTTTTTTTTTTTTTTTTTTTTTTTTTTTTTTTTTTTTTTTTTTTTTTTGTTTTTTTTTTTTTTTTTTTTTTTTTTTTTTTTTTTTTTTTTTTTTTTTCTTGAGATAGGGTCTCAATATGTAGTCTTGGCTAGCTAGAACTTGCTGTGTAGACCAGGCTGGCCTTGAACTCACAGGGATCCACTTGCTTCTACCTCCAGTGCTGAGATTAAATGTGTGCGCCACTGTATCTAGTGACTGTATTTTAAAGTTTTTGTGATCTTTCACAAATAATTTAGCAGAACCCATTTTTTTCTCTTTGGTCCTATTTCTTGACTGTATTTAGATGAGACAGTTCAAGCAAATTGGTAATAATAAAAATACTACGACTACTACTACTACTAAAAAAATAGTAGTAGTATTCCTTACTGTTTTCTCACTGTTTCTTTTCAGGGGATCTGTATTTTGAGAAAGCTGTGAATGGTTTCCTTGCTGATCTGTTTACTAAGTGGAAGGTATGTTTCTATATTCTCTAATCTTCTGGGTAAATATTACACACTAGGTTTTTCATTTTTCAGTTATTGATAATTTTAATTATTTTAGTTTTTTTATGTTTTTTGAGATAGAGTTCTCCTGTAGCCAAGGCTGGTCTCTGACTCCCTGTGTAGCCAATGATAACCTTGAAATTCTGATGCTCCTGCGTTTACTTAGCAGGTGTTAGGATTATAGGCATGTTTTGTTTTGTGCTTTTCCTATTTTAACGGATTTTTGTGTCTGTAGGCTGTTGGTCAACCTTCAGTTTTGTTTCTTGGGTATTATCCACTGTGTTTTTGGATCTTCTTAAGTGTGCTAGGTTGGCTGGCCAGGAAGCCTGGGGAGCTCCTGTCTCAGCTGCCCCAGCATTACAGACATGTGCCAGGACACCTTTTCTTTCTTTCTTTCTTTCTTTCTTTCTTTCTTTCTTTCTTTCTTTCTTTCTTTCTTTCTTTCTTCCTTCCTTCCTTCCTTCCTTCCTTCCTTCCTTCCTTCCTTCCTTCTTTCTTTCTTTCTTTTTTTTTTTTTTTTTTAATAGAAATGGTCTCATGTAGCTTTGTCTGGCCTGAAACTCACTGCATAGACGCATAGACCAGGCTTGTCTTGAACTCAGAGATCTGCTTTCTGCCCTCCTACTGAGTGCTGGAGTTGGGTGTGTGCCACTCTGCCCTTTTTAATGTGGGTTGAATTCAGGTTGTCATGTTTAGGTGGTGGCATTTTACACATTGGACTTTTTCCTTAGTCCCTGTGTGTGCATTTTCTAAATGCAGACTTTCCATTAATTTGCCTTCTTGAGCTATTTTAGCTGAAATGTGGACGTTAGACTTAAATTACGTGAATGACCTCAACATGATCGACAGCCTTTATGAAAAACACATGGCTAGTTCACACTCAGTGGTGAGAAACTGAAAACATTCTCCTAAAACCAGAACTTGGAATGCCTCCTTTGCCACGATAGGCATACAAATAAAAATAGAAAGTAACCTTGAAAAAAAAAAATAGTGTAGGAGTCTAGAGACCTAGCTAAATGGTTAAAAGTGCTGGCTGCTTCTTCGGAAGCCCTGAGTTTGAGTCTCGGCCCTCTGAGGGCCTTCAGGGGAGTCTGACACATTGTTTTGGCCTCTGCAGAGACCCAACATACAGGTAGGGCACAGACACATATGCAGACAAAATACCCATACACAAAAATAAAGGCAAAAAAAGGTTAAGAAACGGGCTAGAGATGGCTCAGTGTTTAGGAGCACTTGTTGCTTTTGCAGAGGTCCTGGGTTCAGGTGTCAGGACCCACATGGATGGTGTATCACGGCCATCCGTACCTTCAGTACCAGGGAATCCAGTTTCTCCGGACTTCCATGGCCACCCGGCACAGGTTTGTGCAGATGCGTATATGCAGGCAAAACACCCATATACGATAGATGGATGGATGGATGGATAGATGGATGGATGGATGGATGGATGGATAGATAGATAGATAGATAGATAGATAGATAGATAGATAGATAGATAGATAAGTGAGCAAGCAAGCAAACAAATAAAGGGCCTAATGCTTTTGGATGGGGTCTTGGTAAGGCTTTCCTGGACTGCCTATCCTCCTGCCCCAGCTTCCCAGGATAGTTGGAATTACAGGGATTGACTACCATGTCTGGTCTCTTTTTGTTTGGTTGTTTGTTTGTTTTTGATTTTTTGAGACAGTATTTCTCTGTGTAGGCATGGCTGTCTACTGTTTAAAGTATTCCAAATTTCTTGCAAGTACATAGAAATTTGAGGATCAGATTTTTATTTCTACAAACAAAATGGGCATTGGAATTTTGACCCTGACACACTGAGCTGCAGACTGCCATGTACATAATCTTTATTTTGTTCTTGCCATTTTGAGACAAGGTCTGGCTTGCAGCTCAGGGTGGGGTCTTTATATTTCTGCCTCCCAAGTCCTGAGTTTACAGGCCTGTGCCATTGCACCCAGCCAGTACTGTCATTTTAACCCTATTAAGACCAGCCATGGCTGGGTTGTGGTGCTATATGCCTAAAATCCCAGAGTTTGGGAGGCAGAGGCAGACAGATCTCTGAGTTCAAAGCCAGCCTGATCTATAGAGTGAGTTCCAGGACAGCCAGGGATACACAAAGAAACCCAGTCTTGAAAACAAAAAGCCAAAAAAGCTAGGGCTGTAGCTCAGTTGGTGGAGTGCTTACCAGGCAGGAAGCCGTTAGTTTAGTGTCTGGCACCTGAAATATTGGCTCTAGTGCACACCTGTGATTCTAGCACTGAGGAGTTGGAGGCATGAGGATCAAGGTCATCCACAGTTACATAGTAAGTTCAAGACCAGTCTGTGATACATGAGACTGTCTGAAAAACAACAAAACGAAACAAAGAGATAAATTGAACTTTTAAAAATTGAAGTCTTTTGAAGATAGGGATATAGCTCACTTGATCATCCCAGCACATGAAAATATCATTGTAATACACACGGTATTTGAGGTCAGAGTTTGAAGTAGAGCAGAAGGAGTTTAAAATTAGGGTTCTCCTCCAGTTAGCTTTTTGGTCATGGAGAGCCTTGGTTTCCTTTTCTGCAAAATGGAGATAACAACAGTCCCTATCCCCTTTTCCACTCTTTTGCTCTCTGCAGCACACTATATTTTTTTTCTGTCCATCAGAACTAGATATGAAGGCTGAATGTAGGACCTGTGCAGTCCGGTAAACTAGTTGGTAACTAAGGAGTCTGCCTTTCCCAGCGGTGGACTTGCTGTGCCTTGACTTGTACTCAGGAATGTCTGTGCACTTGTGATCTGTCCATGGAAGAACATGAGGGCGTATAGAGCATATTAGGCTGTACTTCATGTCAAATGCTAAAGCTCAGTATCCAAGCTGCTTTTCATGCCCTCCAGTGAGCACCCTGTTCCCAGGATTTTGACCCCAAGACTCCACGAAAGTTTCATTGTTACTAGCTCCCGTCTTCATCCAAAGGTAATTCATGATCTTGGCTTATAGCCTTTCCTCTGTAGCAGCTTCCGGTCCTCATCCTATAATGTATAGAAGTATCTTTGGTCCTTAAAACCACCACCAGGAGCCAGGCACGGTGGCACATGCTGGTAAATCCCAGTGCTCAGGGAGGCAGAGCAGGCAGATCTCTGTGAGTTCAAGGCCAGCGTGGTCTACAAAGTGAGTCCAGGACCGCCAAGGCTACACGGAGAAACCCTGTCTCCAAAGAAGCAAAACAAAAACAGAAAACCCCACCACTGCGGACACTGTTCTTTTTCCCTAAACTGCAGTTCTGATTAATTAAAAATGGGTAAGGATATTCTTCAATTCTGTCTTTCAGTTGACCAAGTTTATGTCAAATCAAGAATTGGGTGAAAGAGACCTGTATTTGAAGGTTTTCAAGCATTTTTGCACATCCTTGGAACTTCCTGAAATCACACAGTAGTAAACATAGGGCTGGATTTGATAGCACGTCTCCCAACAGCATGCAGTGTGTGTCCTTTTCACATGCCTCCTGCAATCACAGGGGGCTATCCAGCCCTGCACGGCCACTGAGCATCTTAGTACGAACGGGCTGTGAAGGAAGAGAAATAAACCTGTACCCACTTTTTCTGTTTTCATGCCTAGGAGAAGAACTGTAGTCATGAAGTGACTGTGGTCTTATTTTCCAGAACTTTTTATGATGCAAAGTCTATCGGTGAGTAACTTTTTCTCATAGATGTATACTTTTTTTTTTTTTGAGAAAATTTTTAAGGATTTATTTATTATTTATACAGCATTCTGTCTACATATATGCCTACACAACAGAAGAGGGCACTAGATCTCACCATAGGTGGTTATGAGTCCCCATGTGGTTGTTGGGAATGGAACTCAGAACCTTTGGACGAACAGCCATTGTTCTTAATCTCTGATGAGCTATCTCTCCAGCCCAAGAATTTTTTTAAATTGACCGTAAATGTTTTTATATGCAACATGTTCTTATTAAAATTTTTAGTTTTATTTACTTATTCATTTGATTTTTGTTTTGTTTCGTTTTTTTTCCTCAAGACATTGTATTCCAGCTATCCTGGAACCTACTGTGTAACCAGGCTGGCCTCAAGTTCACACAGATCTTTCTGCCTCTGTCTCCCAAATTCTGGGTTTAGAGGTGTATACCATTACACCGACTAAATTTTTATGTTTTGTTTTTGTTTTTAATTTTTGTTTTTTTGAGACAGAGTTTCTTTGTATAATAAGAGCCCTGGTTGTCCTGGACTTGCTTTGTAGGCCAGGCTGGTCTCAAATTCACAGAGATCTGCCTGCCTCTGTCTCCTGAGACCTGGGATTAAAGGTGTACACTACCATACCTAGCTTTAAATTTAGTTTAATTTAACTAATTAAATTAAAAACTAAATTTTTAATTTAATTTTAAAAAATTTGAACTAACATTTTTTAGGCTGGCCTTTGAACTCCTGCATTCAGCAAACTCCCTGTCCAAGGGCCTTTAGTAGCTGAGTTGCTGGCACATGATACCCAGCTTCATTCAGTTAATTCTCTGTTGGGTCTCTTATCTTCATCTCCAACAATTTATTTTTGTCATCTTTGCTTTTGCACTTTTTGTCTTTATCATCTTTGCTAGGGAACCAAGTAAAAAGGAAAACAACACATACACCTTAATGTATATAAGATGGCTGGGCTGGGGCTGGAGACATGGCTCAGAGGCTAAGAGCACTGGCTGCTCTTCCTAAAGGTCCTGAGTTCAATTCCCAGCAACCACATGGTGGCTCTCAACCATCTATGATGAGATCTGGTGCTCTCTGGTGCTCTCTTCTGGCGTGCTGGTGTATGTGCAAGCAGAATATTGTATATATGATAAATAAATCTTAAAAGAAGAAGAAGAAGAGGAGGAGGAGGAGGAGGAAGAAGAAGATGAAGATGATGAGACCATCTAATGTAGTTCAGGATCTTTTTTTTTTTTTTTTAAGATTTATTTATTATTTGTATAGCATTTTCCTGCACACCAGATCTCACTATAGATCATTATGAATGTGGTTGCTAGGAATTGAGCTCAGGACCTTTGGAAAAGAACAGTGAATGTTCTTAACCTCTGAGCCATCTCTCCAGCCCCCTGTGATACCATCTAAAACCCACACAATAGATACACAATTATCTTTTATTTAGTCTTTTTTTTTTTTTTTTTTTTTTTTTTGAGAGAGAGAGAGAGTTTCTTTGTGGCTGTCCTGGAACTCACTCTGTAGACCAGGCTGGCTTAAAACTTAGAGATCCACCTGCCTCTGCATCCTAAGTGCTGTATTTAAAGGCATGCACCACCACTCTTGGCTTATTTTTTGATGATACAAATCTTCAACCCAACAGAGGAATCCACAACATTGTAAAAATCTCTTTTTAATTTGATATTTATACTGAATTTTCTTTATTTCAGATGAATTTCCTGAAGTAAACCGAGCTTCAATTCAACAGGATCACAAAGGGAGATTCTATGAGGACTTTTACAAGTATGTTTTGGTGTTTTGCTGTGACTCTTATTTATTTATTGGTTGTTTCTTCCTAACTTAAATAACTTTCAGATTTCATCAATTTTCCATCCCTGTACATTTTAAATTCTAAGATACAGGATACCACGTTATGTTTAGAATTTTTATTTCTTTTTGCCTTTTTTTGCTGAGTCCAACTATTTACCTTTGGTTAGTCTGGAACTCACTGTATAGACCAGGCTAGGCTTGAACTTGGAGCACTCTTTGTTTCTGCCACCATGTTGCTGGAATTGCAGGTGTGAACCACCACAGCTTCTAGGTTTGTTTTTTTAATTGTACAGTAGTTTAGCCTTCAAAGGTCATACTTTCAAAAGTAAATAAGTTGTTAATATAAAAACCTTGGATGCACAATAGCTAAATTTACAGTTAACATCTTGCCACATTTGCTTTTTCTGCTTTGAGCTAGATTTTTATCTTAAAGTAAATTATAGCTCTTAAAATATTTTATTCCTATACAAAATAATATATATTATTTATATATATTATATTTATATATATAATAAATGGTTATATATAATCATAATGTCATTTAACAAAATTAACAGTGACTTGAAGATTGTCCAATTATCAGATGCTTTTAAGAGTTCCTTCATTGTGTGCTAAAATAACTTTGTGTGTATAAGTGAGTATATATATATATGTATTTGTGAGTCCGTGGAAGCCAGAGGTCGACGTTGGATTTTTCTTCCACCTTATTTTTTGAAATGGTGTCTTTCACTAAACATGGAGCTTGCTGACTGGCTGGTCAGTGAGCTCAGGGATGCACCTGTCTGTCGTTCCTCTCACCGCTGGGGTTACAGATATACACAGCCATTGTCTGGCTTTCCCATCAGTGCAGGGAATCCAAAATCAGGTTCTCCTGCTTCATCGGCAGGCTCTTTGCCTATTGGGTGGAATGGCTGGTACACAGAGGCTTTATTGTTCGGTTTTGTTCTGTAGTCCTGTTTTGTGTGTGTGTGTGTGTTGTGTAGTGTTTCCATACATGGTCACGAAGAGGCTAGAAGTCAACATCCAGTATCTCAAGCATTCTCTCCCTTATCTATCTATCTATCTATCTATCTATCTATCTATCTATCTATCTAT